TAACTCGTTAAATATCGAAGTTAGAAGGAAAACAACTTTTATTTCAATCATTTTTCGCAATTTTGAAGAAAAAAAAAATCCAATAAAATATCCAGTTAATTACTCACGCTAGCGAACAGCTTTTTATACAGAAGTTGTAAAGTTTTAAAAATAAATTATCCTATCTTCTGTTCTATCGATCGTGAAAATATTTTGCAGAATAATTATTTACGAATTTCAGAGTATTGTACTAAAAAAAAAAAACAGTAACCAATTACATGAAACATGGACATATGCTACTGACGTAAGTGCATTTACAATAACCTGGTTGCAGGATTATTAAAATTTTTTAAAATGTAGTTCACTACAAATCAAACTGATGGCAAGAAATAGATTAAGCATCTCCAAATTTCAACAAAAAAGAAAACCAAGGAAGAGGAAAACCAAGCATATTGACCCGTTAAAAGAGGAAGAACAGCGGAAACGGATCGCAGCGATAGAAGAGAAGAGACAAAAGATCATTGACGAAGTTCATGAATCGTTGAGGAGAAGGAGACAGGATAAAATAGATATACAAGATTTAAAATATGAGAAGGAGACAAGATTGAAACAAAAGGCAATTAGGGATGCCATGAAAGTGGGAAGCGAGAAGACTATGCTCGAGGTAACGATTTAACAATTATGTACTTTAATGTTTTTATACATACGTTATTCATTTAGCTATTATTTAGTGTGTATTGTTAAAACGATATGAGTATAAGTGTGATAAATAGTATGTATTATCCTAGTCCATTTCTGACCCATAAATCTTATTATATATACTTTAATTTTTTTAAGTCCCGGTTTATGGAACAATGCAAATGTGCATTTTAAATTTAGGGATCTGTCTCTATTCTTTAGAACAGTAACAATAAACAAAGCACTTGCAATGCTTATTTAATGTTTCGTAATGCTTATTTGTTTATTGCCGATAACATATGTATAATTTTATCAGATCCGCGAGGACCTAAGTAAAACTGTTGAAACCGGAATAAAGTGCGTGTACACATCCGTGATTTTACCAGAGAAGATTAAGTTCGACGGCCGTTCAATTCTCAACATCAAAGGCGTCAAATATCGTTTAAAAAATAATTTACATATCGTTGGTTGGGGAAAAGAAGCTGTGACGATGAGCTCGGCATTCGAACGAGTCGTGGGGAAACAATTAAAGAAAGGTTGACACATTTCTCTAATTATAATAGCTATTCAAAAATCTTCGGAGTACAATATATTGGTAGGATAGAACAGGCGGTATAACCGGTAGTATTATCTACTTGTAATCGAAAGAAGGAAATAACATTTTTCCGCTTGAGGCCCCCGAGGTTTTCGAGTTATTATCTCTCCCATTACTTATTCATTGTAAATATTTTTTTCATTGCCAGGTGTGTAACGTTTTGCCTTCAGTCATACAATTTTTCCAGCTACGTTTAACCGAACTGTGATAATGACTGTGTGTATAGCAAACGTGAATATGTAGGTCAGCTGCATTTAAACGTAAATAGTTCAAGTACTCGACAGAATTTTGAAACAAGATTTTCTCAAAAACAAGATAGACGAAAATTTTTTTACAAGTGGAACCATCGCTCGGTTTGCCACTCGGATATTCTGTATACAATTGTAAAATGTTAATCGATGATGTGATTGATGATAGGTTGGATGGTGGTTCCCCGGAAATCACTTTTCATGATGTGGAGCTTTCCGGAAGCGTTTCCACCGCTGGATAGCCGAATTTCATACGTCGAAGCTGGTACCGACGGACACGCTGATGAGAAATCAGTAATAGCTACCAGAAGAATTATACAATATTGCAAAAAATTGAAACGAAGAGATCTGTTGATAGTCATGCTCTCGCAAGGGATCGATGATCTCCTTTGCTTGCCGAGAGAGACTATTACGTTGAGAGATAAACTTCGAGTGCTGAATAGATTAAAAGCTGCGAATGCAACTCCTGAGGAAATAAACATCGTAAGGAACAAACTTTCCGGGATAAGAGGTGATTTAATTTCATAATACATAATAGAGTACCATTCGTGGCCATTATTTTATTTATTTCGATATATTAAGTATTCTAATTTTCTAATATTAAATTAAATTATGTGATGTGGTACATTAGCATCATTGTCCATTTTTTTAAAATGATATATAATGGGTCTTATGTAAATTACCATAATTTTTTTAAATATTAATAATTATTACAATTTTAAAATACATTAAATACAAATTATAAAATACAATAATTTTTTCCATTATTAAGTATTGCGGAATTGATAATAATTCGAACGTAGGTGGAGATTTGGCACGAATAGCCTACCCAGCAAGGGTCGTGACCCTGATTACATCAGACGTCTCTGCTCAACCGATGTCTGCACTCTCAGGTGGGCCATGCGTGTACGATCCAAAAGATGAGAAAGCTCTGGCAATACTTACAAAATACAGAGTGATCGACAGAGTGCCCTTAAGCGTAAAAGACTTAGTGGAAGAGACAGTCCCATGGGTGATGGCTGCGGACAAACAATTAGACAATAACAAGAAGTACAAGTTCGTGCATGAGTACGTGATTGCTTGCAATGCAGACGCTATGGAGTGCATGTCGGTGGAAGTGTTTAAACTAGGACTGTTCCCTGTGAAATTAAATTCGACCTGCTCCGGAGACATACAAGAATTCGCGCAGGAATACGTGAAAATGACGACGCTGATGATTTTAGCTGTAGAAGGAAAAATAACAAGATTAGATATGTTTCAACAAATGAGAGAAAGTCCCGTGTGCCCTTTGACTGATGAAAAAATTAGTGAAATATTCCCCGTGAAAGATAAATGGGGATTAGGTTTATGTCTGCTGTTGGGAGGTCGACCGACCGTCCAGCTCTGCCAGAATCCTGGCCGAGGTGGACCTAATCAGGAACTGGCTTTATATTTTTCACTTTACTGGTATTTGCAAACGCAGCAATATCCAATTTTGAGAGAGTATACTGTTTGGTTCTTGGGCGGAAGTTCTTACGGAAAGGATGGCAATACCGATAAAACCGGTGCATTTGGCTACAAGAGTTTAAGTACCGATGTTTATCCGGAATATTCAAAGGCGCAAAGAGCGTTTAACGCAGCTCAGACGGAATGGTGGAAGCTTAACGAGGACAAAAGATTTCGGTCCAAAATAGCAGTGAGTATTATTTAATAATTATTAATGTCCAATATCCGCTACTATTAAAGGTATGTGTCTGTGTGTCTGTGTGTCTGTTTTAAAAAAAAATGATGATTGCAGAGGAGTAATGTTTATAAAATTTTTCCTTAATTATTATAATAATTAATTTGCAGGATGCTCGACAAGCGATGTTAGAACTTAAAGCCGTAAGAAATAGACATCGCGATATTCTCCCCGGGAACGTTTTGAAAAAGAACGATACGAATCTACTGTTTTTAAACATAAACGACGAGGACGAGTTATTTGAGTTAAAAACAGGAAATTATTATACTTTCACGGATGTCGGGGACCTACACGTTATACGGATTGTTCGGTTCCAATGTAACTGCGATAGTACTTGTCATGGAAAAGAGGAGAAAGTGTGCACCGATGCTGAATGTTTGGTTTATCAATCGTTGCCAGCTGAGGTTCTGGGGAAAATGCAGTATTGTTGTCGGCTGGGCAGTTGGAAAGAGTAATCTTGGTACAGTTTTATTTTATTAAGCTCTGTAAATAACAGAATATTTTCTTCCATATTCAAATACATATACAATTCTAAGAAAAATTCGTTGTCTGACTTCTTGAAGCGATGCTGCAAGTACAGCGCAATACAGCGCAGCGTTATAATTAAAGGAATATAAGAATTGGGTCGGGATGAGAATTTTTCTCGAGATAGGACGAGTTCTCGTAAATCCCAGGATCCCCGAATAGCATCGAGATTTACGAAAATATTTCAAATTCCCCAAAATATTCGGAATAAACGCTTATCTAGGATTAATTGATAAAAAATCGAAAACTGGGTAAAAATGAAATCTTGTCAAGAGTCGATTGTACGGCCGATAGCTTATATCTCTGTTCGAAGTACCGCCTCTTACATTTGTCAGTTACTATAATCGATAATCAAGTACACTCATAATTGTAAAACTACAAGACTGTTGTGTGTAGTGTACTTGTGATCTGTAGATTAAGTTTCAATTTTTTATACAAATAAGATTGTATAGAATTTTCCTTTATCTTCAATAATGTGAGATTAATTGAGAAAAAGTCGAGAACCGAGTGGAAATTAAATGTCCGATTGTACGGACGATAGCTTGTATCTGTCTTCGAAGTATCATCTCTTCTATCTATCAGATAATCCATAAATTCAACCATTCTTCTAATTGTAAGAATGGAAGATTATTGTATGTAGTGCATCTGTGATCTTAAGCCGAGATGATTATCGCAATGGCAGTGTCAACTTGACACTGCTGACAGTCATGTAATACTTGGCGGTAATCAAAGCCAAGGTTCTACTCCTAGCCATTGAATATTTACATGTACATACGTCAATTCAAAAATCTTTTAATTTTAAATCATTCCAATTACAATAATTATCATTCAAATGTAGTTAACTCGCATGCGATAAGCATGAATTATTTTCCATTCATATAAGATTTATTCCCTTTCCAACGTGCAATCACTCTCGCAAATAAAAAATTTTAAGTATCCTTTCATTCTGATAGCGTATCGGTATCATATTCGTTGATCATACGTCGTAGTACCTATTTGATAAACTTACTAGCGTCTTCTGCTAAATGAGGCTTAGCGTCAATAAACAAAGAGTCAAGTGCTGAAGTAAAAAAAGAAACTCCGAAGTCTATATTAACGTTTATAAAAAGAATACCGTTTATTCAGTTCGTCTTTATCTACACTTTTATGTAATTTCATTTGATTTATGATGCTATTGTACAATTAAATGATAAATGATGTAAATGTTAGAAGAAGAAATGTGCAAAGTACTAATACTATTTGACAAAATAATAATTCTGTACACGTAAATCTATTCTGTCTCACTCATCCTTAAGTTTTCTTACAAATTTTGATAGCGTACATTTAATAACAGAAATTATAAGCCATTTAATTCTCTTTGGATTTGTTCCAAAGATTTTCCTTTCGTTTCTGGAACTAATATGCCTACAAACGCACATCCAATAAGACAGATTCCAGAAAATAGCCAAAACGTAGGACCAAGGCCCATTCCAGTTGAGAGATTGCTAAAAAATTTAGTCACAATAAAAGCTAGTAACCAGTTAAAAAGGCAAGCACTGCCTGCAACCACACTCTTTACTTCTGGTGCAAAGAGTTCACCGACCATCGTCCATGGGACTGGTCCGAAACCCATATTAAACATTATAATAAAAACGCATACAGATACTAAAGGCAACCATGTGATCGAATCAACAGTTGCGCGTTCTGCATGATCATCAAGATAGAAATAAACTCCAAGCGTGCAAGATGACAAGCACATAAAAATTATAGATACCAACAATAATATTTTCCGGCCTGCACGATCTACGACTAACGAGCTGACGAACGCAGCTACTACTTGCATCGCACCTACTATCATAGTAGAAGAACCAGAGCTTAATGAGCTCCCAGCTTTTCCAAAAATGCTGCTAGTGTAGAATATAACAGCATTGACACCGCTGAGTTGTTGGAAGAGCATAAGGCCGTAAGCTATTATAAAAGCTTTAATAGTTGCTCGGGATTTGGCTACGGTCCAGAATGGAGCCATATTTTTACTATCTTCTTCCATCGCATTTTTGTGGGCTTGTAATTCACCGTCCGCGTCGTAATGAGCGCCACGTAATCTAATTAAGCTCTTTCTAGCAGAATCCTCGTCGCCTTTCTTTAAATAATAAATCGGTGACTCCGGCATAAATACAAATATCGCGAAAAAGATAAGTGGTACAACAGCAGATATGATCGACAGTTCTCGTATATCAACGTAATTTCCCAGAATATATGATAAAAGGATGCCCACGGTCAAAAGCAATTGAAAAAAGGCTCCGAGAGTTCCACGTATTTCCTTTTCAGCTATCTCTGCTGCGTACATTGGTGCTGCAACGCAGAATGCTCCACTACTGAGGCCAGTAATGAATCTACCGATGCAAAACATTGCCACAGAATCAGCAAAGATAATAAGGAGCCAACCCACACTGAAGAATACCACCATTAACAACATGGAAGTCTTTCTTCCTATAAAATCAGCGAGAATTCCTATGGGAATACATATCGCTCCTGCGCCTAATGTACTTATCGAACCAATCCACGAGAACTCTTCTTCAGAAACTGGTACGCCATACACTTTTTGCAGCTCTATCCCTTTGTCACCAGCAGAAGAAGACCACGCTAATACCATTCCAGCTGCTAGTGCTCCGAGCGTTGATGCTAGACTGGCTGTATACTGAGGCCATTTCTTAGCTGATAAAGCTTGATCCCCATTATTAGAAACTAAAGTCTGTTGCGATATTCCAAGATGCTGCTCAGGCATTTTTAAAATTTCTTCGGTATCTAAAAATAATTCTAATTCAATTTCATGGCTTTCTAGAAATTAAATCCATATTTTCCAATTTCATAATTCTGGTCTACTTTATACGTAAACGTAAAATACTTCAAAATCAAATACCTTTCTGTAGCTCTTGAATCAGTTTATATCGTAAATATTTGCTTCCTGCGTCACAATTCAGAAAATTTTACTTTAGTAAAATGTTAGGTTTCTCTTCATTATATTGTTAACGTTATTTTATATTATTTGCTTCAAAATAATATATTCTTTATTATCGAACTTGTATTATGTCAACACTTCAACTCACTGTATTTTAATTAAATAATTAATCACGGCGTGAAGTCGAGACAATTTCGAAAATTCATTGACCGTTTAAAAGTTACGTGCTTCATGACCGGTTGTACTTTTGGAAGTGCAGTACTTTCGTGAGTTATCGATGGTTATTGCCTTGCAAGTGTTTCATATCAACGATATTGCTAAGCCAAGATTAATCTTGTCGTTCATTGACGTGGCTGTTTATTGCATATATACATTGGTCAGAGATAATTCTCGTAATTTGATGATTTCATTCTCACTTTTCCTTTCGCGGTGGTCGATATCTTCTTTTGATTTTTATTAAATCCATTTTTGTTCAGTGGCCAATAATCTTTCTGTTGACTTAAATGTATGATGCTGCAGGCACGAGTTTATTGCTTTATTATATAAAGAAAATTTTTATAATGAATAACATTTAGCTTGATAAAACACTTTTGTATAACAGTCACTAGAACTTTGTACCATTATGCAATATACTTATTCACTGATAATATAATAATCGCAAACTTTTATCTTATCCTATATACTCATTAGTTTCCTAAATAATTTCCAGTGTCAGTTGTATTTTTTTTATACTGCTTTTCAGCATAGGAAAGTCATGGTCAGTCCTTTCCAATGTATATTTCAAATTTTCTCGACAAGTATGTTCTTTCTGTAGATATTCTTCTATCATGTTTTCGCTTTTGTAAACCATTTTATATACGCCATTTTTAATATCATTTAATTGTTTTACTTTCCTTTGTTTAAGAACTAAACTATGCAAATTCTAAAAGTGAATAGAATGAATAAAATTAACATTTATTAGTACTAAGAAATTAAAAAAAAATTTATACCCGATATTTTAGCAGTTCCAGTTGCCTAATTTCTTCTTCTATATCGCGAATATGTTTTTTCAAGTTTTGTAACACCTCTTGACATTTATATACCTTGTCTTGAGTACTTGTTATTTGATCTTTCAATTTTTCCGTCATATTAATCGTTTGCTTTGTAATCTGTTAACGATAAAACGCATGACACAACGATTTTTAAAAATTGGTCACGTTTACTCGAATATTTACCTTTAAAAGTTGTTTGATTTTTGTTCTCTGATCGGAAAGCCGTTTATGCATTACAATCTTTTCGTTATGTTTCACTTTGGGATTTCGTTTGTGTTTACTGAATACTTTATCCATTATAATATCTCTTCTCGTGATACAAAGTTCCATGTCGCGAATCAATTTCTCTTGAATCTTCTTTAAATATGAAAGTCTCATTTCCATCCTGTGAATTTCACTTCGCATCGACGCTATACCGCCAGCCGTCTGTTCGTCTTTCATATTTTTAATTGTATCTTGCATTAATTGTATCTGAAATTATCATAAGTTATAACAATCTGAGGAAAGAGAAGATACGTACGAATTACCTTTTTCTCCCATGATAAGCTTTCTTGTTGCGCAGATTTTAATTCTTCTTTCAACACGATCTTTTCGTTACACATATTTTTTATATCGTTTTGTAACTTTATAAGTTCTAATTCCAATTCTTGAAAGGAGAAGAGGCATTCGTTCTTCATAATGCAATTCTGATCTTCTAATCCCTTCTTTAAATCTCTTTGCAACACTAAATCAGCACTCATGCGTGATAATTTTTGATCGAGAAAACTAATTATTTTGTTCGTATTCGCATCCTCCTTCGCAATCATTTCCAGCGCGTATTCCAACTTGAAATTCTTTTGACCCATTATCATTATCTCTTTCTCGAGAATATTTATTTCTCGTAATTGCGATTCCCTTTGCTGGCTCAATGAAACAACGAAACCTTGCTGACGCATCCAAAATTGCTGCGTCTTTTTAATATTTTGCTGGAGCTTCTGAATATTTTTCTCTAAAGTAATAATTTTCAGATCCTGCGGGCTCATTTCTTCGCCGCCAATATTTGGTAGTATCTGAAATCATTTATTTATCAAATAACTCACATGTTATTAAACATAATCCTAAATCTGTAATTAGAAGAAAATATTAAGAAGCGCAACCTGATCAATAAGTTTATTGATTCCTAAAAGTTTTGTTTGAGTTTTTTCAATCATGTTTTCATATTTTTTTATCTCCTTTTGTACTTCGTCTATCTGTTTCTCTTTTTTAGCATTCGTTTTGAAAAGTTCATCTAACTCCGTTTTTTCGGTTGAAATAAGATTTCTAAGCTTCTCTAATTGCAACAGATTATTTCCATACGTATTCTCTACGCGGGCGACTGAAATTTCGTATTCTAACACAGAATTCTTTGTATTTATTAACAATTCGTTTATGTACTGCGCTGTCTTGTTGCATATAACTTTCTCTTCCAACTTCTTATATATTGTATCTTCTAAACTGTTTTTCCTTTCGACAATAATTTCGAGTTTTTTAGTCACTTGGTCTTCTTCGTTCAAACAACTTTGATATCTCTGAAATCATTTATCAGTTTATAATATTAATAATAATTATTATCCATTTTATTATCAGCACTTACAACATGCCGAACATACAGTAAAAACAGTATTATAATCATGTTGTGTTTGCTCATTGATTTGTGTAAATTTTAACATTTCTGTTTCACTGTTTGCAATTTTTTCGTTAAACGTTGTAATCGCTCTTGATGCTATTTTAATATTATTCTCTATTCGATAGGATAAAGATGTCAGATGTTCATTCATTTCCATTTCTTTCTCCGTTTCGTGTTTTACCTTCTGTATTTCTAATAATATTCCATTGTACAATTTAAGAGCATCCCTAAAAGGAAGTAATAAAATACATAAAATCTTGTTATATCTTTATGAGAAAACTGAAATACTTACGCTTGCTCAGAGTGTAATTGATCATAAACGTTGTTCCTCTTACAAATACTATTTATCACAGATTTCCATACATCATGTAAATCTTTGTGTTCCATATGAAGAGTTTCTAAATTTGTATTTGCGTCAATTATCATTCTATTAGCATCTTCCTTTTCCCTATCCTTAATTTGTAATTGTTCGTCTAGGTAAGCAGTTTCCCATTCAATTTTCCATACTTCCTCTTTTAAACGATACAGAACAAAGTCTCGTTGCTGCTTCTTATTAATCAACATTTTATTTCTATTGGCATCTTGTAATGACATTTGCTTTGACAATATTAAATTATCGTTCAATTCTTTCTCCCATTTAGACAAACAAGTGTAGAGATCCAACAAATTTTTCAATTCTTGCGAAAGTTTTTCCTTCTTATCTTTCTCTTCTTTTAATTTAGAATAACTTTGCTTCAAGATTTCTTTAACATTTTCTACGTCCTTATTCCTTTTCTCTCTAAGTGCTGTGACTTTCGATAATGCTTCCATGTATTGCTGTAGTGTAACATCTTGACGTTGGATTTCTTCTTGTGCTTGATAAAGAAGTACACCTTCAGATTCTAGATCTTTTTCTGCTTGCTTCACATTTGCTTCCTAAAATCAGTTGAACATTTATGTAAGTTTCAACTACATAACTTTTAAGATCAATAAATATCCCATTTAGAATGTGATATAAAAATCTGGCAAATAAGACCTATAATGAGAGGAACATTTTCTGTAAATAATCATATACTTACGAGATTGAGTATCTCCTCCGAGAGACGATTATTAACATTCAACAAATGTTCGCGTAATGTTTTCTGGAATCTTTGCATCAATTTGTCGTCTGGGTCAAGAACGTTTAGTGCAGGCGTCATGATTATAAAATCTTTCTCACTGCTTGTAACTTGCTCAAAAATTTCTGCACGTTTTACGATCTACTATTTTTAGAGAAACCTTCCTTTTATCAGCTTCTACGTTGATAAGATAAACAAATAACGTATCTACTTAAATTATGTAAATTTATTTAAACTTTTTGGCATTTCATTTGACAGCTTCATTAAATACTGCAAGGTGTTCTGACTTATTTACATTTGAATTATTGCGGTAACCATGTCAACCGCATCTATAACGAGAATGAGGACTCTGCTTCTTATTTATAATAAATAATAGAAAATGCTTATTAAGATTTCCGATAAAACAATAATGTGTTAACATATTTTTCTTTATTATTTAACTATTCCTGTAAGTGTTTAATTATTAATGTTGCTATCTATTTAACAAAATCTATGCTGATCTATAATCTATGCATGTCGTAAGCATAGCATGAAAGGTTGTTCGCGGTTGTTCGCTATCAATGCTATCAGTATCAAAAACAGCTAGCTGTACATGTAGTGAATAGTTTATTGATTATAGCATTCTCCAAGTTATATGTTCAATTATTAATACAATTCGTTTATTATTTAATCAACAATTTAAAATATATTCAACGTACGTCATCCATTCGTATTAACATTTAATATTGCGATTTGAATGTAGTAGAGGTTATGTTTTCAAACATCGAGACATTATTTTTGTTCTTAACTTTCAATAATTATTAGCATAGACAATTAATGGTTATAGATTTTACGTAAAATGTATTGTTGATTATCTTCTTAAAAATGAAAATGTATTAACTGGTTTTTAATTCAACAGATGAATGCTATGTTAAATGTTACGAAACGAATATTTAATGCATCTTGCAAGCGATATTCGAGTTCATCTAAAAAATTGCCTTCGGAGCTTGTCATACCAATAAACAGAGAAATGATCATTTGTTGGCATCCCGAGAAAAAGTTTCCTTACGAATGTTCGTTGCCAATACCAGAAGAAAAAGAAATTCCATCGAATTCTGTGCTATGCATCGGTGAAAAGGAGATTGCAGATGTTTTTAAGCACAAGAGACCAGAAGTGGTTGTCGAAGAACTTACTAAACTCACATATACTACAAAACATAGGTGGTATCCCAAAAACTATCGCAGGAGGTACAGAAAGCCAGAAATAGAAAGACCATACTTGTAGTTAAAACTGGTATAATTAATAAAATAGCATCTATAATACTATTATAGTACTCCTCTTTATTATCTCATTTAATTGCACATATTCAATGCTGTGTTATCGCAGATATCTGATAAAAATGCTTCCAGCATGCAGTCAGAGTGCAGAGAGAGTGCAAAATAATTTATAATTGTATAAAATATATAGTATTTACAACTTCCTTGTACTGATCCTATACACATATATGGACTTAGATGCATAGACTTTGGTCCCTTAGATAGAATGAACAAAATTCTATAAATTCTGAGGAAATATTTGCCTCTCCCCTTCACATATAAATATTTGCATTGCTTGATATAATAAGTATCTCCCAAAACAACGTTTTTCTTCCTTGTTCCACGTTGCTGTGATCCCATAATAATCTCCGCTTCTACAATTTTTCAACTGCTGCATTCCTAATGCATCGATTATAGCAGCCTCGCGGGTGTAAGCTTCTACTGGGATGCTGTTTTGGAACATATGAAGGCAAATAACACCGTATCCATCGTTCCAAATATTTAAAATGTGTCGGATTTTCGCGTTTTCAGGATTTCTATGAGAAACCCATGTGTCAAAAGCATCTTTCAGATGAGAGTAAGGTCTGTTACGAGTACCTTTGCCAACGTAAAATATAGCGGAAATAAATCTACTCCAAATCGAGGAGCTCGTCAATTTTTCTGTACAACATGGCAAATCTTTAGTTACACGCGGATCTAATAGCAAATAATTAAAACAAGTTTTACTGTTCCCTTCTCTCCATTTCCTAGAAGGACTCGTTGAACAAAACTCTTTAAAAGCGTTTCTTTCCATAATTTTGTATCTTCCTATATCATTTACCCAATCTCCATATTTTAAGAATGATTCTACGTCACATTCGCTACAATCCGTTGCAGACGAATCCGTCACTTTCGAACGATCACTTTTTACAGCTAATACATTATTCGTTTTCTCTTCTAACTTTGTCAGTCGTTTTAAGTATAATGATCGTGTTGTATTCGTTATTGGCCCAGGATTTTCACCCAATTTAATTAATCTGTTTCGTAGCGCTTCGTCAGTTAACCATTTGTTATTTCCCAAGTTTAAAGACTTAGGAACTAAAAGAAAAATAAAACATTGCAATAAAAATAATAAGAAAATATTCTGAAATAAAATAATTTTGTAAATCTTACATAATCCCTCTGATGCACAGTCTATAGGTTTGCTACGAGCAAAAGGGCTAATAAGAATTTTAACATACTAAATATTTATAATTGCTTTCTTATATCTCACCATAGTGATAACGCGTAAGTCCTACGCTCTAAAAAAGCTATGCCTTCATCCTCATCTTCATATTTATAGTCTTCTTGTACACTGAAGTACGATGTCGTACTACTGGAACTGCAAATAATTCAAACTCATCAAACTAGGAACAATAATATAGTATATTTTATAAAGTGAGTCTAATTTTTTACATATACACATCATACAATTAATAGAAAATTTCAATTTGTACAACATAAAACGTATAATTAAAAATTAATTCAATTATAAAAAATTAATTTACTTCTTAGACATATTAATATAATAAAGACAAGATGTGGAATATTAAACCAGAGTTCGTCTACCATACAATGCGCTGAGAACGCAGTGAACTAACTTGATAGAAGATGATTCATGCTTTGAATTCGTATATCACATTGCACTTTGACAATAAATATAATGAGATCGAGTTCAGAGAGTTAAATATCTTTCAGATAGTAATTAATACAACCAGGAGTAATTATTGCTAATGATAAAAATACGAGATTTGATGATTAGTGCAGTGAAAATACCATGATTAATAAAGATAAAAAATTAATATTAAAACATTCAGATGAGATTAAAGCGAAAGAGATATGTCAGAAAAAAGTGATAAATGGATTTAAGATTTAAGATAAAAAGATAATAGATAAAGAAAGAATGGTATTTACCTGGAAAGAAGAGTTATCAAGTTTTCTTTAAAAGTATCAACATTGTTATCAGTCTTNAATAAAACATTGCAATAAAAATAATAAGAAAATATTCTGAAATAAAATAATTTTGTAAATCTTACATAATCCCTCTGATGCACAGTCTATAGGTTTGCTACGAGCAAAAGGGCTAATAAGAATTTTAACATACTAAATATTTATAATTGCTTTCTTATATCTCACCATAGTGATAACGCGTAAGTCCTACGCTCTAAAAAAGCTATGCCTTCATCCTCATCTTCATATTTATAGTCTTCTTGTACACTGAAGTACGATGTCGTACTACTGGAACTGCAAATAATTCAAACTCATCAAACTAGGAACAATAATATAGTATATTTTATAAAGTGAGTCTAATTTTTTACATATACACATCATACAATTAATAGAAAATTTCAATTTGTACAACATAAAACGTATAATTAAAAATTAATTCAATTATAAAAAATTAATTTACTTCTTAGACATATTAATATAATAAAGACAAGATGTGGAATATTAAACCAGAGTTCGTCTACCATACAATGCGCTGAGAACGCAGTGAACTAACTTGATAGAAGATGATTCATGCTTTGAATTCGTATATCACATTGCACTTTGACAATAAATATAATGAGATCGAGTTCAGAGAGTTAAATATCTTTCAGATAGTAATTAATACAACCAGGAGTAATTATTGCTAATGATAAAAATACGAGATTTGATGATTAGTGCAGTGAAAATACCATGATTAATAAAGATAAAAAATTAATATTAAAACATTCAGATGAGATTAAAGCGAAAGAGATATGTCAGAAAAAAGTGATAAATGGATTTAAGATTTAAGATAAAAAGATAATAGATAAAGAAAGAATGGTATTTACCTGGAAAGAAGAGTTATCAAGTTTTCTTTAAAAGTATCAACATTGTTATCAGTCTTCAAGTTTATTTCGGAGTGTTTTCCTTCGTAAACATTCAATAAATTGTTAAAATTCGTTTCTTCTATATTACACTTACTGAAATTATTACGAAGTCCTATTAAATCTTTTTGTAATACACAGGCATCAGTCTCACTCTCACTTAAACTTAGTGGTACGTCATCATCGTATTTGTTATCTTCTAATTTTATTACTATATCTTTATTGAAGTTGTAATTCAATTCTTTTCGATAATTCCGATCCGGCGACAAAGAATTCCCTGAATCAGGGCTAGTATATTCCGACGATGTAAGCTCAATGTTTCTTCTACATTTCTTAAGCGAAGGCGAATACTCTCGGTAAAATCGTCTTCTTCTCGGAGTAGATCTCGCCAGTACTTTCCCTAAATTAATTTCTGCTAATTGAAACGGTTTTTTTCTCCTCGTACAAGGCGTAAAAGCTTTCGATCTTATACCTCTGTTCGATCTCTTCGGGGATAAATATTTTTGAGTCACAAAGTCATTTGTTAAGAAATTTGGCGACTTACTTATAATAGTGTCATCTGCATTGCGCATAGGTATCAATGGAACTTTAAAATTATCATTTTGTCCAAAAAATTTTCGCCTGGTTTTAGGAGTAAGAGATTGGTTCTTCGGTTTGTATTTAAATTTATCTTTCATATTATAAACCATACTGTTATCAGTACTTAGCGTAGATGACAAACTATTATCACGATAAGGATTCCGGGTTAGTTTATAATCCTCATGATCTCGGCTACTATCTTGTTCTACGGAATTCGATTTCAAAGAATTCGAAAGTTGATTAATAATTTCATTCACTAAAGATTTCTCTTTAAACATCTCTTCACGAACTTGTAACGCTGCATTAACGTCGATCTGGTTATCATTTACGTTCAGATTGCGCTCGCAAGAATTAAAAGACTTCACATAGTCGACGTGAGTAAATACCTCATCGTTGCGTGCCCCCAATTCACTCTCATTCAATAAGTTTCCTCCGATGACATCCGGAATTTGTAACGCAGTATATTCTGCTATTACATTCCCATTGTTTAATAAAAGTTTATCTAAAAAAAAAGAAGCTACTAAGTCTTGCTAAAGTATAAATTGATTTGTCAAAATAGTAATCCTATTTGATAGAGAATAACATTATTTACCAAAAGTTCGTCTATATGTTATTGTCTTCTCTTCTGGCTTTGTAATGATGTCACAATATTTCCCAAGGAGAACAATAGCTTTATAATATTTTCCATCGAAAGCATAATGGAATGGATTGCGTCCCTCGTCATCTAAGGAGAGAGGATCTCCCCCATTAGCTAAAAGTAATTCTAGTACAGTGACTCGTCCCCATGCTGCTGCTACATGAACTGGTGTCAATCCATCTGTTGACCTGCCAAACAAAATGAAATTATTAGATTATTGGGAGGTTTTTAGATTATAAGAAGGTTACAATATTAATTAATTACCTGACATTTGGATTTCCTCCATGACGTAAAAACAGTTTTGTAACTTCTTCTGCGAAAGCTTCAGAATCATTACCAATCGCCAAGTGAAATGGAGTCACTCCATATGTAGGAATTAATGTATTAGGATTTGCTTCATTATTTAAAAGTAATGTTGTCACTTGCCTAACAAAAATGAAGAAATTTATATACATACAGACAATAGATACAAACTTACACTGAAGTTATTGCATTAATGATTTTAGTAGCAACATAAATACACATCATTTTGAGCAGTATTAAATAATCCAAGAAATAATTACTTTATATCATTATCTTCCACGCCGTCACACAAAGAAGAAGCCAAAAACAGGCATCCTTTTGCTTTCAGATTTGACATGATTAAAACGTAATGAACTTATTTTACTTGTATGCGTACAATGACTCTTTAAAGTGGTTTAACGCCGGTTTCAATCTGTTATGTGTAACTTGCGAATAACTATCAATAATCATTATGAATATTTGTATGTAAACAAAAACGCTAACGGTTTCAAAGCACTGCTTCTACTTTAAAGAAAAGTTAGGTATCCCGGCGCGATTCGTGCTACTTATTTCGCTTGTTATGTCCTATTTGGAATGGCGATTCGTTAACAGGAATACAGAATGATGATGGAAGTCTAATAACGATTTAATATATTCTAATATCTTGCTCAGGAAGTCGATTCGTTAACAGGAATACAGAATGACGATGGAGGTTTATTAATGATAGACACGGTGCGGGCGCGGGTGCTGCTGTGTCAGGTCTGAAGGGTAGGCCATTGAGGTTAATAGACGTGAAGAAAAAAGTACCAGGCAATAGGTAAAATCGAAGGAATTGCGTGTGCATATTGTGTGCACATGCATCGTTGAATTAAAGAAAATTGTTCGTAAGATTCGTAATCTAGAAATTGATAAAGATGAACACTGACAGATTGGTTAAAATAAGTAGTACATATTGTTGAGTGCGTAAATGTTTACGAAGATAGTAGAAGTATCTGTGAATTGATGATTATTGAGAAAGGGGTAAATTTCAAGCTTGATGAAGAGAACGATGATACATAACAGAAGCTTTATATTACAATGGATTTTGGTATTGATATTCACGGTGACCATCGTTTATTTGAAAACAAAACTGAACCTTCTGGAGGATCATTACAAAGAATTACGTATGCGTAACAAATGATTAATCTTACTAATTTGTTAACGACAGAATGAGCTTCATTATTTTAATATTTCGTTTTGTTAAAGGTGATGGAATAACATAGGTATCCTATCATACTTCCAGACAATGCCGTCGTACAAGAAGAAAACAGTATTCAGACTGGAATTGAAGCTAGCGAACATTCTTACAAATCACCTTTCGATGATCTTATCATTATCTACAACAGGGTACCAAAGACAGCATCGACTAGTTTTGTAGGTCTCGTCTATGACCTATGCAAACACAACAAGTATCACGTTTTGCATATTAATGTTTCTAATAATATGCACACTCTTACGCTTCCCAATCAGGTAACATTGCTTTCCTTCAAACCTTCATTTCGTTCATTATTTTAATTAAACCTTACTTATTATCGTATTTTTAACAAAATTACAGATTCAATTTGCAAATAATATAACTAGTTGGAATAAAAAGAAGCCAGCGTTTTATCATGGTCATGTTGCATTTTTGAATTTTGAGAAGTAAGTACTTCAGAAGTATTTGTATATTCAAATATTTTCTCATATATTATCTTTCCCAGGTTCGGCGTGAGACAGACACCTTTATATATAAATCTTTTACGTAAACCTTTAGACAGATTTGTTTCTTATTACTATTTTTTACGATATGGAGATAACTTTAGACCACATTTAGTTAGGAAAAAACATGGAGACACTAAGGTTTGTATTTACTACACGATTTTCATTTATATATCGCGTCTGTTTTTATCTTTGCGCATACATTTCAGACTTTCGATGAGTGTATAAGTGCAGATCAGCCGGATTGCAATCCTGATAATATGTGGCTACAAATACCATTTTTATGTGGACATGATCCTGCTTGTTGGTAAGATATAATGAATTAGAAATAGTTCGTGCCAATTTCAAACAAATGTTATTAATTATACAGGGAAATTGGAAATAATTGGGCATTAGAAGAAGCGAAAAGAAATTTGCAGAACCATTATCTACTGGTAGGAGTGACAGAGGAGTTAACAGAATTCATCGAAATTTTGCAAATTGTACTTCCACGTTTCTTTAAAGGAGCTTACAATTCATTTTTACACAGTAAGAAAATCTGAACTTTATTACATTAATATTAAATTGTTCGGATATGTTGATGGTCATAAAATTTTAGATAACAAATCGCATTTGCGTCAGACTACGCAGAAAATCAATCCTCGGCCGGAAACTGTCGATAAGATTAAAAAATCAGTTGTTTGGAAGATGGAGAACGAATTGTATAATTTTGCTTTAACGCATTTTCACGCAGTTAAGAAGCGACTCATAAATGCCCCGCCTCAAGATGTGAATCAGCGATTTATGTACGAAAAGATACGTCCGAAATAAACTTAATTTTTTAAGTAAACAAGACTAAAAAATATCTTGAAATTTATTCGGATATTTTAATTTCATTATATATTTGGTCTTAAAGCAAACATGTAAACCGGATACAATCCGCGTGGAAATTTATGTTGTTGTTCTTCTTTTATACAAACTAAATTCGATTCCTGGAATATATGATGGAATTCCGAAAGAGGTCGTGTCACTGACGAATCCTTCGTATCAATCTCCAAGTTCTCAGAGCTTGTCACATTCTCCTTAACTATTATTAATCCATTACACCTTAAGCCCATCCTATTAAATTTACGTGTTTTTAAAAACATGCTTTTTACGAGACATGAGACGTTTAGTAGATACTTACGAGCATTTTTTAAAAAACTCTATTAGATCGTCGTGCTTTAAATGGCTCAATACCCATTGACACCAAATGACATCATACTTCTTTGTAGCGAAGCAGAAATTCTGCAGTCCTTAAAAGTAATTTAATCAATTTAATATTATTTTTGTACAATTATTGAACTAATAGAGCATTACCAGTGGGATAATAGTTGCCAATTCTCGAAGCGTAACTTTTCAAACACGATTTAGCTACTTCTAGAAAATTAGAATTCTGTTCTACTAGATCAACATGCTTAAAATGATTTAATAATAAATTCTTGGTTATTCTTCCTATGCCTGCACCGCAGTCTAACGCATAAGTTTTTGACGGAGGAGTTTTTGACTACAACAAGCAAAATATAATGTTATTCAGCAAATTAAGATTGGACAGTGTTGGAACGAGTAAGTAGCATGGTACGTACTTCAAATAGATCCTTTAAAAATTTATTAGAGCCTTTTATGTCGATTTGCGAGATAAATCCGAAACCACCGAGCATTCCATCTATCGTGGGTGGTACATGTTCCCAATATTTAGCAGCTGCTGCATAAAATTCATGTTCTTCAACCGCATTTTCTTCCTTCTCCATTTTTCACGATGATAAATTATACATCCTACTTATCCAAGTCATTTCATTTTATTTCTACTTATATATGCGTGAAAATGAAAAATATTTAATCATTTCTACTGAGACTCGCACGTTTAAATGTTATGGAAAAAAAGCATTTAACTTTTTTGGGGGATTCACAAATTTAAAAAGTCTTATACTCAATAAAAATAGCATTTCTTACTTTACATATAAATATAAGCAGTCATAGTATAATAACGAATTCGTTTAAAAGATTGTATATTTTTATTATTAATTAAACAATAATTGAAATAAAAATTTTACCATCGATAGTCAAGGTATCGAGTATAAAATATCGATGGGTTGCTATCGCGAAATCGACTACTATCGATGTAACTGTATAAAAGAGCTCGATGTTGAAAGGCAAATTTACTTACAATAATAAAATGTTGCGTTCAAAGTAATTGTAATTTATTTTTACTACAAAGATTATTTACACATAATTTAGTATGATTGTTTATGAATCGTCTACATAAGGCATAGTTGAATGTATAATACATAGTGTGCACAGTTCGTATACTCACTGGGTCGGTTTGGTTAGGGCTTAAAATCGATGTTAGTCGTTAGCCAGCAGTGTCTGCTGAGGCCATGGCAGAAGTACGACTTTACGATTCAACAATTTGCCGATTATGTGCGGAGGATAGTGGTAATGGGGAATTACTTTATATCGGCGATAGTGATGATCCAGATTTAAGTGCTATGGTTAATCGGTACTTGCCGCTCAAGGTACGAAGGCTTCGAAACGCTAGACTCTAACTTGACTTCCTGCTTAGCGCATAAGTACATACTACCTGAATCAAATATTCTAATAAAATGTAATATCTACCGTACTGTGTTATTTATTTTACTCATTACACGAAAATATCTATAAATATTTACGGGATTGTGAAAGAACGTAGTTCAAACATCGAATAATAAAGTATTTGAGTAAGAAAGAGTTTGGTTAATCTTACGCTCTATTATATTATCGTACGTATATTCGTATTTCTAGGCAAAATTAATTTTATGTTTTAAGAACGAATTCTTCTTACATAAACTACATATATTTCAAGGCACAGAATGTTCTTAAGACAATATGATTTAGGCACAATAAAAATGTAGTAATTATTTCCTTTTTTAGGTTATTTTACAACATTAGGTTGTGTAAAAAGTTTTGAATCGCTTGTGAAAAGAATTGTTTGGGATTATAACTCATAATAATAACAATTTTGATTAAAGATTCGTGATGATGGCAAGTTACCACGCACAATTTGCCCTGGCTGCAATATTCAACTGGAAGCAACGATACAATTTTTTGAATTATTGGTGGACGGCCAAAAGAAAATTCGTGAGATGTACAAGCATCAGGTAGAACAGCAGCGTAAAGCTGGGCGTGAGCGGGTTCGTGCAGAAAGGGATAATACAGAAATCGGAGCAGAAACGTCGGAATCAGACAATGTCTCACGCTGCAACGAGGATGACCAGTTAGAACAACAAATTATAATAAAAAGTATTTCTTTATATGTTGTCACTAGGCTGCAGATTTTATGCACTTATAGAAATAGAAGTCCTGCAGATGGTGTGAAACATACGAAATCCAAACGTTGATATTTAAATGAAAAACTAAATCCGTATTTGAAATATGTTTTACTTGACTATAAATGTTTTATTTTGCGTAAAAATCTGCAGCACTACTCATCATTGTAACATATGAAATGTTTGAATTTATGTAGAAAATTTTTATATTTCATGTTACAAATTAATATATTTAAAGATTTATCATTAAATTATTAATTTTAATATTACTTCGTCAATAGTGATGCCAGATGGTTCTATGTATGCAGCGGAACATGAAATGAGTTTGCAAATGGAGGGATTAAGCAAGCCAAAACGAAAAAGAGGACGTCCACCAAAAACTCAAGCTGAAAACAGATTCATTGTTGGTAAAGATAACATTGTTGACGAAGACAAGAGATTTTAAATTATTCAATTTTAGGAATTAACAAAAGAAGTTTTAGAAGGAGCTAGTCAAGAAGAAGAGGATAAACAGGAAGATGATGTAGAAGACTTAGACCGAGATGGAAGACGTCGCAGAAAGCGGAAAGTCCCTAAAAGGTATTATTTATGAATAAAAACAATTTTATTTGTTAAAAGTAGTTGCTATTGTTTTTTTTACGATAGAGAATGGGATGTTTCAGATACATGGAAGCAGTTCAAGGGAAAGAATTAGAAAGAATATATAAGGAAGAAGGGGTAATCGATGAAGAAGATGACGAACCTGATAATGTCGAAGACTGTGAAGAGCAATTAAACATGTCTGTTCCTGATAGTCAAGAAGGTAAGAATTACGTTATTAAAATACATGATTAATTAAGTTAAAATGTTTATCGATATTTATAAACTGTAGAAATAATCGGCCACTTGGAATCTGAGGAAGGAAAAGATCTCGGGGAATTAGTGGTAGTCAATCGCGGTAGAGGACGTGGTCGACCGAAATTACGACGTAGGAGACACAGGTATACATGTCAGTTATGTGGTCGAGGATTTCTTCAACGAAACAGATATTCTATACACAAGTAAAATAAACTATTAACTTCAATTTCAATGTTGTATCTATTCGTTTTAAGAAGATTAATGCTTACTTTTCATATTTAGGAGTTTCCACAAGGGCATAAAGTACGAGTGTTTTGAATGTAAAAAATTGTTTACGAGTAAGGAGAATTTGGAATTGCATCAGAAAAGTGTTCATCATAGCGGAGACGATGCAAATAAAGATGTGAATAATACTGTCCAAGATTCAAGCACGAACCCAAAACGTCACTTGTCCGAAGATAATAATATGCCTGACGTGCTTGATCAAACTTTGAACGAAGAACAACATACAAATAAATTTTCAAATAATATAGATGACTCTGAAAAGAATATTTCATGTGAGCAAGGCGAGAAATCGTTTGAAACGAAAGAAGCTAACGATTTACATTTAAAGGTGGCACAAGAACAAGATAAATCGTTTGTTTGCACAATTTGTAATAAAAGTTTCAGTCAGCAAGCGGCTTTGAAAAATCACATATCTGTGCACGAGGTAATTAAACATCAATTGCAGAGATACTGAGATAAAGAAGATAGTGTTAGGTAATGATTTTGATTATTTTGTAGAAAAACAAGTTGGAAAAAGAATATCCGTGCGATATTTGTGGAAAGATACTTAATCATCCTAGCTCTGTAGTATATCATAAAGAAGCGGAACACAACAATGGTCGCCGATTCGTTTGCAATAAATGTGGGAAAAGTTTTAAGCACAAGCAATTGTTACAACGTCATCAACTTGTCCATTCTGATGATCGGCCTTACATTTGCAAATCGTGCAATGCCAGCTTCAAAACGAAAGCGAATTTAATTAATCATCAGTCTACACATACCGGGGAAAAGAAATATTTTTGCGAGATCTGTGGACAACAGTTCGCGCATAAAACTAGTCTCACTCTGCATTACAGGTGATTATATTTACAAAAGTAATAACTTTTTAAAAGACGTTTCAATAACAGAAGAATAAATATAAATGAATTATTTTTAGATGGCACACAGGTCATAAGCCGTACACTTGCGAGGTGTGTCACAAAAGTTTCTCGCAAAATGGAAACTTGCAAGAACATATGCGAATACATACGGGCGAGAAACCTTACTGCTGCGATTACTGTGGAAGAAAGTTTACTACATCTTCGCAGTTTAAACTTCACGTTAAAAGGCACACCGGCGAGCGTCCATGGAAATGCGAGTTTTGTGCAAAGTGCTTTTTGCACAAGGATACCTGGAAATGCCATGTGCGTAGACACAAAGGCGAACGCCCTTTTCAATGTGCTCATTGCAATCGAGGTTTCACTGAGCAATGGGCTTTGAAGAAACATCTTCGCTTGCACACTGGTAAATTTCCAGTTGTATTTGTATAAAAATCGCGAGTTTTTATTACCGTTTTATTTCTTTACTTATTAGGTGAGAAGCCTTACTCATGCGATATTTGTGGAAAAGCGTTTGCAGATTGCTCAAATTTAACAAAGCACAAAAAGGTAAGAGATCGATTTATTTTTAATTAAGAAAAATTTCAGTAACTTGAAATCATTATCGAATCATTCATAGGTACACAGAGAAATTAGGCTCTCAGCGATAAATGAGATGGAAGAAACCCCGATTGGAGAAGTTTGGCAAATTCTGCCAAGCTCCCAAGAATCTGATGAACATTCGTTAAGCGACCAAATGGCTCAGGTCATTGCAACAGATGATGCTTCTGGGGATGGTATTCAGCAAATTATATACGTTTCATACCAAGATCCAGACGACCCTAATCAATCTCGTACATTGCATTTTGGTAAAGATTCACATTTTACGAATTGTAAATTAATTTTGTAATTGTCATATTTATTGTTTGACTTCTTACATAGTTGATGCGAGAATGATAAGGGAAAAAGAAGAAAAATCTAATACAGATCAATCTTTGTCAACATTGAACGTTAGTAATGATGCGATTCTTCCCAGTTCCGTGCACGCTAATACAAATAGTAATTCGAACGAACGTATAAACGTTGAACTTTCAGAATCCGATCTTCAACTTCAGGTAATATTTTACATAAACATTTATGTCTGTATCGAAGGAGGAGATAACGTTCCGAATGCAAGTTTGATCAAATATAAAACTATAATTACGTTCACAGATCACAGATGAGGAAGGGAATCCAATTCCTCTTTCCATTCAAGAAGCACGACAACTTTTATCCCAGAGCCAATTTGTTAATCAACTTGGTGGCGGTCAAGAGATTAGAGTTCACTCAGGAGTCATTCCTGATGAATTAGCAACACCGTTGACAGTACATGTTAATCAAAATTCTGATATTAAACACATTCCTAATCCAGAAACAAAAGTGAAAAATATCTCGACTGTCCAAACAGATGCAGAAGCGATAGTGAAGGCCCTGGAGGTAATGTTTAATGACTGTAAAACTAAATACACTTTGCATTTGGGAAGAAAAACATATAAATGAAAGCTTGACTCGTCAACTTTAATTTAAAAATTGGTCAATTCTCGATACTTCCATAATTTTTTTGAATAGTGTATATACGCTATTTTTATTATTTAATAGGACGAAGATACGGATGCGAATGCTGTTGCAACAATTAACCAAATGAGCGAGTCAGGACAATCCGCGATCGCTGAAAATGAACAAGCAATAGAATTTACGACTCAGGATGGTCACAAGGTTCGTTTAGTTACTTCTTATCACGTTGATCCAATGCAACTTACATCGGAGTACCTGACTATTGTATAAATTTGGAACATTATGCTGTATATGTAAGACATTTATTCAATCTTGGGCGTTGTATTAATTATCCAAAAGTAAAAATATCGTTCTAAGTTGATTATCCAATTTCGTTTTTAAAAGATAATTAAATTCATCAAAATGATTCTTACACTATACATTGTAACTTCGTTAAAAATAGGAATAATAATTACGTATTCGTACGCAGTATGAACTTAAACGTGTAGAGGAGGTATAATATGTGTAATAAAACTGAAAACCTATGTTCAATTAATTTAATTGAAACATTTGACCCAAAAAACAAAATTGAAATACATCAAATCTATTATGTATATCCATAGTAGAATATTTAGAATTTCGGTTTCTGAAGCATCATATACGTACATGAATGAAAGTGGTTTAAATCATGCTCATATTTTCGAGATTTATATTGTATTTCGTACGAAATATTTAATTGTTCCTTCTCATGTAAAGAGTTTTGACTCAAGTCTGCCTTAGAATTAATAGTCCATTCTGAGTAAAATTCAAAAATATCGTCGTATTGCTTTAAATAACGTGATTTATACCAGGAATGGCTAAGTCGTTCGCGAAACGATTTTTGGCGAAATAATTGAATATCTGTATAATAAAGTTGATTATACCACTTCGATTCTAACGCAGGATCCGCACTATCCATACCAGCTCCGTACGTCTCTAAGACGTCAGGAAGCAACAAAAGCAGTGTCATAATCCTTGTTAAAGAATAGTAGACAGACTCCCCGCTGTTTAGATTCATCCAATCCATCCGAAATCCAACGAAACGATGGGTACCGATTTGCATTCATCAAGTATTTCTAAATACTATTAGAATATTTGAGATAACTCCGATAATTTCTTATATAATACAGACGTCAAAAGTAAATTTTATATAAAAAAAACTATTGTATGTGGACTACTGACAAAGTACTATACACATATATTCGATCAAGCATTAGGGAAAAAACTGTGTATAAGTCGACTCAAACTTGCCTTCGGGATACTACTGCGTGTCTTAATATAAGACTTGATAGGAACTTAGAAATGACTTAAAATTAAGTGCAAGAAATAAATTCCAGCCCTGGGAATTGGCATGCGGAATTGAATTCATTGCAATTTACGGACATACGCGTTCCTCAATTAGCAATGTATCTAAGTTGCGACCATTGATTTCCGAGTATCCACCATCCCTACACATTTTATATAATTGATTTATGTGTTTAGTATTTTCGACCGCATGATTTTGACGTAATAATTCTGCTCTCAGTGAAGAACCGATCAAATCTTTATATCCGATCACTTTTGTTCCCACTTTTAAAGTTTCCATCCACATCGTATGTCCCAGATGCAGCTTTACCTATACACGAAAACGTTGCAGTTGTAAAAATTATACAAAAAAGAAGAAAATGCGAATGGGTGCCTTTTGTATACCGTTCCGATTATGTAAGAGTCGTCGTCGACATGTTCCTTAAACCACTGATACACATAATCAAATGAATGGTTATTCCAAACATATTCGTTATCGGGTGGAATTATACCAGTTAAAAACAGTTCTACTGTGTGCACAGGATAATTCGCAAGTTTTTCTGGCATTTGTAATAATTTCGATACCTAAAACAACCACAGTGTATGGAAAATGTACAATGAACATAGTATTAAAAAATAAGTATGCATACATACAAGTATGTTCTGTAATAATAGTCCGCTATCAAGACACCTTACATCTACGCATTTTGGATTTTCAGTCTCATATTTCGCAATCCTTATAATTTGTACTCTGTTGAAAGTACCTACCGGCTCTTCTAAGCCATATATGCTTCCCACATTTATTACCTCACATGTTTTTCTATAAAAGAATAAGAAATAATAATGCATCATAGTATAATGTCACTCTAGCGTTCAGAAGAAGAGAACAATATATTTGCTAATTTTTTCTATCGGAAAATGAAACGCTGAAAAATGGAAAGTTCTTCTTGAAATTCTTCAGTCCAATGAAAAAGTGCCAAAACTATTTAGTAGAATGTTAGAAATCATGCGTTAAAAATTTCTTATGACTGAGAAGAACTGATCAAACAATTTTATAAACCTTATTCCTCTATAATTATCATTTTTCCTAGGTTTATTGCTTCAAATATTGGATATAGATTTTTATTACATGTTGTAAACCTTTGGCAGAGATCTTACGCGGCTCATACTACCTTAAGCAACTTTGTAATAGTCTAAATGCCAACCTGTTCTCACTGGAAGAATAGAATCTTTGTAACTTGAATGTAATTTGCATGTATTCAATATTAGAAAATTGTATTTCATCCTTCGTGGCTTTTTTTATGTACGATACAATCCTCACTGAAAAGTGTATTGGACTGTGAATGTTGATTAGACGAAATTTTACCTCGTCATCCCTGAAATGATATCAATTCGATTAAATTGGATCTAACTGATTTTTCAATCATCTACGTACATTTGGATATCCGTAATCGGATCGTCAATACATTTAATTATTTTATGTCTAAATTCGCAAAAGCTTTGTTTGTCACAGAATCCCCAATACTTTATTTGGTTGCAGATGGGATGATTCCTCTTCTTCGTTTCTAAAGCAGCAGCCACAAGCTGGGCAGAAAATAAGACAAACGTTTTACAATAAACAGATCGTGTATTCACAGATATAAATTGCAAGACAATAATTGTATCGACATAAATACCTCGACTGTCTTTAACATGTTGTCAGGTACTGTAATATTTACACGTCTCATCATTCTTACAATATATATATATTGTACGTCGTTACTCTCGTCAAACAATATATTTACTTTGCAAATGCCACTTTCCTTAAATAATTTTGTTCCGTTCAACATAAATATTTTCAATTAAATGGTATAAAAATATTTCTAAAACAGCATACCGTTCGTAAATTATCGAGAAGTACCGAAAACCGGAAACAGAATGAAGTTTTTGACGTCGAAGGAATTGAATAATGTATTAAATTAGTCACATTCGTAATATTTAAATCTGATAAAACACTGTCCGTACATACTAAAAGAGGATAGGAACCAATTACACAACCGTTCCAATATGTTTTGATCTCTAAAATAAAACAGGAAATATTAAACAAATGTAGACAAATTTCTTACGTTGGGAAAAATGAAATTTTATGGACTTTCGTACCATTTAACCCAAACATGTTCGTATTCTCAGTGGCTATGAGAGTCTCTACTCGCTTTGATAACAATCTACGTAAACTTTCTGCTTCTTTACTACTTCTACAAATTACTGCAGTCCTAGATTGTAAATATTTATTACCCAGCAGATCTATGGGAAAATATAAATATTATATAACTGTATTACAAACAAAAGAATCTTTAAACAATAGAATTTTACCTAAAAGTTTTTCATTTTTTTTCTCCGAGTTTACTACACATACATTCATGCTTACAGATTTAAAAAGGGCAGCTTCCAGGCACGATGTTATGCATATTAATGGATCTTTCATTAGAGCAGAAATGAATTTTTTCAACTGTGTTGTGCAATTCGTAGCAGTTATTATAAGTTGCAATTTCCCTGATTCTCTGTTACACAAAATATTATGTTTCGCAAACAATCTGCTCACCTAGAGTAAACGTTCGATCAGATTTCTATAATATAACAAAATTATCGTAATTAGGAAAAAAATTTACCGAATTAAAATATTTATCGAGAATGACATCAGCACTGTCGAACACTAAATATCGGAGATATTTGAAGTCCAACATAGCTTTATTGTTATTCATGAAACGTCCTAGAACGGATGGTGTGGATATTAATATCTGGCAACCGTTATATATTTCAGCCTGGAAGTGAAAATATGTTTCATCAAGTTCTCTTCTGAAATTAATAATATGTACCTACATACCGCTATTGATCTATAAGACTTGTTGTTAACTGCAGTTACGATTTTTATCTTTTTATACTTTTCCAGGAAAGTTTTAAATAAGAAATAAACTTCAATCACTTGCTGAGATGAAGAACACAGTATCACTGCAGATGGTTTCAAGCCTTGAGGTAGCTATTTCAACACACGTATATATATTAAATTATATACATAACTAAAGTTTGTAAAAAACATAACAATAGTAAAATATACTTCTGAATCTGCGGCTAAGCATCCAGAAATGGGAAATGCATATCCAAGAGTTTTGCCAGATTTCGGCGGTCCAATTGCGGCCACACTCACGCCTTCCTTTATAGCAGGCCAAATGAATGATTGCATTTTTTTAGGCTTAGATGATTTCATTGATTTGTTCCAAGTCTTAAAGACAAAACAGATACGAACTTTTACTGTCTTTACAATTATACTAATAAGTAAAATTTGTATGCAAAATAAAATGTGTAGAAGAAAGAATTGAATAGTGAAATTAAGATAAATGCACAAAAATCTGCAGTCTACTAATAAATATAATCATACCATGTGTATACTTGTAGGAAATTCTGCGTCTACAACAGAATTTAACTTTTTGCAATCTTCCCTTCCACAAAGAAAGACGTGTTCTTCATGGCCCACAAATTTATGCGAAACATGATGCAAATGTGTTTCCTTTCTAACGACTGGTTTGCTAAGTTTACAAAACGTAATAAGTATACAATTAGGATAATATCAATTAAATATATTTTTTAACAAACCTTTTGTTTTCTTCCTTAAGATTATTACTGGGTATTTTGCTTAAATCAGTTTCATCATTAAATATTTCGACATCCAGTTTTCCATTACTCATAGGACCTTCTATAGTCTGTAACGCTGCGTAAAAATTGAATAATAATCATTATAGCGATTCAGGAATTAAGGATATAAAACATTATTAGTTTACCTTCGTCCAAATAAATAGCGTAATGATTAGAAACTAAAGCTTTACTTAAGCTTATGACCCTATCTTTAATGGTGAGATAAAATTCACCATAAGATTTTCCATGTTCATCAAATGCCAAACGATGATAATAGATCACTGCAGATGCACTGATTAAGTTTCTTGTGTATTCAATTGCTGGCAAACACCAGCCTTTTGAAACACTTAAAACATAAAACATAATTGTACATAAAGATACTATTTTTAAATATGCAAAATAATCTTTTTGGAAGACTGTATTATACCTTGAAACTTTATTATTTGCCAATGAACCATTTTTAGCAGAAACAGGTAAAACGTTATATAGGCCAACTGTAAAGCTAAAATGTTCTTCTGAAATCAAATCATCTGGACATAAAAAGAAGTCATCTCTTCGTGCTCTAATGCAAACGCCATAATCAGACAGCATAACATTGTATAATTTTCTGGAGTCTTTAATACTGCTAATATATCCTCTACATAGTCTACTAGGAATGAAGATTCGTTTATTGAACTTGCTATGCACTATAACTGCCTAAAAGAAATAAAACAAATCACTTTTTAGTTATTGGGATTATTAATATGAATTTAATTACTACTGTCAAGATACAAAACTTTATATTAAACTTATACTTACATCTCCTACTTTCGGTTCTATGTCATTAGTATCATTATTAAATATTATTTCTTTTGCTATTAACTTCTCTGCTATAAAATCCAATCTTTCATCATTATATTTTGTGTCATACATTATTCTCATAATATAAGGTGTTAAAACGTTTGTCACCTTAACTAATACAGCTGAATATGGTATCATAATTGTAACTGTAATTTAAACAAGATATTTATACAATAAAATAGATCCTAACTAGACTATTCGCTTTTCAGAGCCAATAATAAAATCACGTGGTGCCCGTTTTAAAGTTCAAAGTGAAAAGTGACAGTGCAGTTGTCTGTAAAAGTAAAATTATAATTTTTGTTTCCTGAAATTTTGTCAATGAGACGGTGAAAAAGTGACAGTGATCGCGCAAGGGAGGAAACGTCAGGTGCATTGACCTGCTTCAAACATCAGCTGCTGCGGGCCATGTTTCTATCTTCGAATGCCGAAGGTCGTCCCATTGACCCACTGACGTTCTTCTAACAGCAGATGCACTTTCCGGTGAAGGAGTAAGTTTAACACGAATTTTTTTCCCACTTCTCATAATTTTACACTTGTCTTTAATTCTTTGTTCTCATGACAAGCGCGGCAATGCACGCCCGCCCGCTATACGAATGTTCTGAATGGTCAGGGTTTTTGTTAATAACTCAACAACCACGCATCGGACATTTTGACAAAGGAAACTATTATTTAAAATCATCTCAGCTCCTTCCCTTTTTCGGGCCTAACACTAGTTCTGGGACACCCCGTATAATAATTAATTTCCTTACATTTTTTTAAAACGTACGGTCAATGTTGATTTAAATATTCTTTATGCTTCAAAATTATATACACATTTACGGCATTAAAAATTCAGATCTTGTATCTCCAAGTTGATTCCTATGTAAAGCTTGTTAAACAAAGATATTTTTACGAATAGTAACAAAAGTTTCCTTAAAATATCTTTACAATACTAAAATCAAATATACTATAAAATCCGGAGGTGGCTTGTAATATTTGATTTCGAGAAATTCGAGGCAGAGAGAATATTTTCTCTTTCTTCGAGGAAAGTCATTTCAAAGGCAGCAACAAGACACATGAAGAATATAAACACATGACGATGAACATTAATGAGCTCACGTGGAGAAGAATTCATTTTAAGTTGAGCACAACTGCTCCTTACGTAACTTCTTACTAACTGGCATACAAAAAATGATCACTTACCTACACACAAAACACAATTCTAAAACAAAATTTTGACTATGTTGTTATCGAGCAAGTAAGCACCGATGTAAGCAGTGTAAGCGGTAAAGCCGGTAAAGCCTAAGTACCAATGTAAAGTTCATGGTAAAGCACCCCCGAGGAGATACTGTATACACCATTCTTTCCAGCTAGTTTCCATGATCATATCAAAAATTTCACCTTCACTTCTTCCCGTTACTTATCCCTTTTATGTTCCTTGTTTCTTCCTATATGCCAGTCTTTATTAATTGTAATATATATAAATATTAATAGAAAAATTTCCATTTACGAAAAAGTATTAGAATTTTGAAATTTCTTGTTATTTCATTGTGAGATAGCATTCATGAAACAGTGAAACAGCCCTTTAAAATGCATGAAAATCAGCCAACAATTAAATAATTCTATATTTTAAACACGCAGTATATATAGTAAAAACATATATATGTAGAGCTGATAGTTTATGACAATTCGTACATTGTTGTACAGTAGTTTTGTTGTGATCGTGTCTTTATTTATAATTATCTAGTCGGTTATTAAGTGACATGTGTGGGATGAAACAATAAAACAATATGATAAATATAATTTCATTCGCTATTTCATAGCTGTAAGTATCATACTCTTTATTATGAGAGCTCGTTATTGTTTATGTTGTGTAAAGTGTTATGTTTCTCTTTCCACAAAGCAAAATCTTTAATTGTAAATGAAAGGTACAGATTCATCACTATAAAAGTATAATAATAATGTTAACTGGCTTATTGTAAAACTTGTTATTAATAATATTTCATAAATCAACGACACTACTTTATTGTATTAATTAAATCTGATATTTTTTAGCTAAAGATCTGTATTTCTTAAAAATGAGAGCTGTTTTACTACTCTTAATTTTAATTCAAGTAAGAGGAAAAACAATCCAGGCATGTCCCAAGTTCTGCACCTGTAAGCTTGGTGCACAAGCTGAATGGCTACGTGTTAAATGTGGCAATGAACTACAAAACATTAAGGACATCGACATTGACAGTGTCAGTGTGGAGTTGATTCAGTTGTAAGATCATTATATTACTGTATACAATTCTTCAAAACAGTAACATTTATTTATTGTACTCTATTCATTCCAGAGACCTAAGCAAGAACAGCATTTATGGTATAGAAAGCAATATATTTAAAAATTTAATGAATTTAAAACGCTTGAATTTGTCACAAAATGACATAACTTATCTCGGTGAAGGTTGTTTTAATGGTCTTGGCAATTTAGAGAGACTGTAAGAATACTAATATTAATTGTTCTATATTATTTAACATATTAATCTTACACTCATATCGATATCTTATTTAGGGATTTAAGTAAGAATCAAATCTCAACTATAGATGCATATGCGTTCAAAAAGTTAACAAGTTTGAAAAGGCTGTGAGTTAATCAATATGTAAAATACATGCTATATATTTTTGTGTACTTTATTTTATCTTATATATCTCCTTTGATTGTTAGCGATTTATCACATAACAACATAACTGTGGTGAGAGCAACATTATTTCATGATTTGCTGGCTTTAGACTGCTTGTAAGTGTTTCCAATTTTAATTTGCTTCGTTAGCATTCTGTTAAATATTATTTTGTTAGCTATTTGTATCATATGAACGATTCGGAATTTATACATAATATTAATTCTTAAAAATATTGTAGGAAACTGAATGAAAATAAGTTGACAACTTTAAAAGAAGGTATTTTCTACGGCCTGAAGTCTTTAAAACAATTGTAAGTAAATTAAACGTTAACGTATGTATGAATATAATTATTTCTATTTCAATCTACGTTTTAGGGATCTGTCAAATAATCCATGGAGATGTGACTGTGAATTATACTGGTTTAGTAGCTGGATCCACAACAGTTCCATTAAGTTGAAGTAATTTTTATATTTTTGAAGAGATGAATAAAAATGTCACGTTATCAATTTACTACATATTTTCTCCACATTTCAGTTCTGCTCCAAAATGCGTATCGCCCACGCGCATGAAAGGTGAACTTGTGAAGAAGTTGAAATACTCTGAAAACATTCAGTGCCAGTGGTTACCTCCTACAATCGAACTTCAACCATTCAATAATCAAGTGGTGTTCGCTGGAGATTCTATAACGTTAAAATGTAGAGCACCGAGTATCACAGAAGACAGAAATGCAAAATTAAGTTGGCTGTGGTATCCTAATACTACTTCCGAAATAGCAGATTTGGACGTATTCATAGATCCACAGAAGAGTTTATCTAATATTAAAATTGATAATAGATACTTAGCAGATAGTGGCATCGTCGACAGGTATTGTATTTAATTAAATTACAGTACTAAAGGTGGTTACAGACGTAACTGTAAACTTGTCACGCTTGCAGTTGCGTCTATAGCTTTATGATAACATCATAATTTGTATGTAACACTACAATTTTTGCAGTTCTCTTAGTATCGTTAGTGTCAAGGAAGAACATAATGGTCAATGGAATTGCTTATTAGTTTCTACAAATGGTAACAGATCTAGAGCAATCAGTGTAATTGTTATTTCAGATGAAACTCGTTATTGTCCTTTGGCAGGTAAGATAAATCGTACATATACACTATAATGATATAATATATAATTATTAATGTTGTACAGTGACAAAAAATAATAAGGGTATTTATACATGGCCAAAAACTGTTGTGGGCTGGAGAGCAGAATTGCCATGCGAAGGCAACCATTTATCAACTTTAATGCAAACGCCTTTGAAAGCTTCCTATCAATGCAATATCACAGGACATTGGGAAGATTTGAACACAGAAGTATGTCCTTACATATCGCAAACGACAAAAAGTTTAGAACAATTTTCGAAGGTCAATCTTTCGCTCACAAAGATCAGTTTATTGGAAACTGCGAAGAAATTCAAGAATTATACTGGGAACTCCGTACAAATAACTGATCCTGTTGATGTTAATTTTATAACGCAAACTATAGAAAATTACTTAAACTTTTTAATGGAAGAGAAAGAACTGGGTTCCATGCTGATCGACGTTATCAATTCTATAATAAGCATACCGAAGAATATTTTGAAGAAGGCTGAAATTGCCTTTAAATCTTGTTCACGATTAATAAGAGCTGTGGAAAAAATTATTGAATTCACTCCGTACATACAATTTTACAAGAAAGATATAGCGCTCGAGGAATTCAGAATAAAACGTGATACCTTCACAGGATTAATGTGTACGTGGTACTCGAATAATAATCCAGAAATACGATTTTTGCAATGCACAACGAACAACAGGAGTTCTCCGATTAATGTAAAGGATAAAGTGATCGAAGCGTCGATCAATTTGCCCGCATCTTTATTACAACATTCGCAGGAGCCTGCTACTCATCATTTAATGATTTCCGCGTATAGCAATAATAAACTGTTTCCTATTACAAATAATGACGATAATACGAATATCGCGTCATGCGTTATTGGAAGCAAACTATGTACGTAATCAGTAATGGATAATATCGGAAATATTTATTAAAAACAAGAGTAATACGTCAGTTAAAATTTACTTCCAGATGGAATACCAATGCACAATTTAACTGAGCCAGTATACGTTATGTTAAAGGTACCTTTTTATCATTATACTGGAAGAAAATTATTACCAGTAGTTTGGGATGAAACGTTAAACGAATCAGGAGGCTGGACGAGCGACGGTTGCTATATAAGAAACGTATTAAGCAATTTGATAATATTTCATTGCGATCGATTAGGATATTACGCTCTTTTACAAGACACTTCCTTATTTGATCAAAATGGTAACAGGTACGTATATTTAATAATTGTTTACACTTATTTACAGTTAAACTTCGATTATTGGAACTATTTCATCATTGATCAATTCATGATTTATTTTAATATCTTTTCTTCAGCATACTCGGAGCAAAGTTTCGATACTCAAATCCTGCTATATATATTGGAAGTATCGCAACGATAACGTGCTTGATTATCATGTCTGTTACATATATTATTTGCTATTCATCGATCACAATGCCTAAAAAAGCCAAACATTGCGTTATTAATACGTGGTTTGCCATGGCCTTATTATCATTCTTTTATACTATTGGAATTTATCAAACAGAGAATGTACCAATTTGCCAAGGTGTCGGTCTTACTCTTCACTACCTATCCCTGTGCCCTTTGTTATGGATGTCCGTGTTTGCAAGGTAACGCATATGTATTACGTAGCACGTGTATCATAGACATAAAAGAAAGGCCCTTTAATATATTTTTATTGACCCCGTGAAAGATAGCGTAATTGTCAACTGGTATTCAATTGAATTAACATCTGGTCTATTCTTATATGTCTGTTGCACAAATGATATCATAAATAATAGTAATAATTCATTTACAGCAATATGTATAAAAAATTAACTAAATCGGATCTGAAAGATATTCCCGATAGCGAGCTTCCGGATCAACCAATACCGAAACCATTGTTAGGACTTTATTTAGTTGGTTGGGGCATAGCTATGATCATCTGCGGTATATCTGGTGCGATTAATCTACGAGAGTACGCTGGATACTCGTACTGCTTCCTAACAACCGGTCCCGCGCTCGCCGCTTTGTTCTTCCCAGCTGTAATACTAATTCTGTGTTTAATCATCTTTCACTTACTCATTAAGTGTGCAATTCAGAACGTCGACATGAACGGTCAATTATCCGAGGGTACGCAAACTACAGAGAATATGGATTTGGAATTACTGGAACCAAATACGAACCTATCTGCTGGCAGAGATAGCGCGTGTAGCGCTCGAACAGTCTCATCTGACATCGAAGATTCGGAACATTCGCAAATAACGCAACTGAAGGGACAGATTATCACGTTATTTTTATATTTGATATCGTGGATAGCTGCTGCAGCAGCTACCGCGAAACCATTGAGTCCGTATATCCCGTTCGACGAGACCATGTTCGCTACTTTATATTCATTCTTCTCAAGCTCGCTCGGCATTTTTATACTATTTTTTTATGGGATCGCACGAAACGATGTTAGATCGCAGTGGTTGAAAATGCGTTGCTGGTTTAAAAACCGTAAGAATCGCTGTTGCAGAACGAGAAGTATTTCCGACGTGAATCCTGCGATACCAACGCAGCCTTTAGTACAAAATCTGGTGCCAGCAATGTCGAATTCTCAAGCTACCCAAGTCACGTCCGATTCGAATTCCGTCGGCTCTTCCAGATACACCCACAGATCGCAGACCAGCAATGCATTTAAATTTGCAGGCACTGTGACCAATCAAGAAGTCTTGCCTGTCGCTAGAAAAATGACAAATTTGAATCTAGTCGTGTTACATCGGCAACAGTATAGATCTGACAATTCTGTGACAACGTACACAGAGCCTACGTGCGTGGAGATGTTTTACAATCCGCACCAAAGCGGGGTCGCTAGAAAATTCTTCAAAAAGCAACGTCGTCATACGAAAAATAATAATCTTGGACCTCGGAAGCAAGGCGACGGAGGTGCTATGAGCGACGCCGGTAGTTGCACGTCCATACCGCGGCCTATCAGGAAATTAGAAAGTAACATAGATCAGACTATCTTAAGCAGCAGCGCAAAAGTGAATAATACAAATATCCACGTGGAATTGAATCCCATAAATGATATGAAGAACGTTAATATATTGTCAGACAGCGGTGGTAGCATTTCGGAAGAGAGAAACGTTCCAGTACGATTTGTTATTGGCCAAGAAGGTCTCTTCCGGAACGCGAGGAAAGTTAACAATAATTGTAGAATTAATGATCCTATAAATGCAGTATCGAATTTCTCAAGAAACAATTATCAAAAGAAAGAGGCTCTCAATACGATACACGATTCAGACACGGATATTAAAACTGACGAAGAGAAGCAGATGCAAAGTGTTATGCAGCAGTACAGCCTTGAGTACAGCTCCGAGGTAGAATCCATTGCTCCGATGAACAGTGAAAAGGGCGATCATAGTGTGTCGGAAACTTATGAAGCCATAGATATTGCAGAGATGAAATGTTTGAAGAAAGACTGCCAAAGTGCGAACATGTTTCGTGAAATAGAAGAGCAGCAGCCTAATGCGACCCTGACGTGGTTGAGCCATTCTAATAGCATGCATTGCCTTCCAATAGATACTGCGAAACTATCGAGGAATCATCATTCGTTGAATGACATCGCATCTCTAAGCAGTTTGAAGAGTTGTGAATGTTTGAAATCATTCTCAGACTTACAAAGCGTTACAAGCTCAAATTTATGTGATAAAAGTTCCCTATCTCAAAAATCGTTCAACAAATTAGAATTACCTGTTTTTAAACTGAATAGAATAGTTAAAGATAATTTACATAATTTAGTACAGACAACGGTACATGCTAATCCTCCGCTAGATGACGATCGTGCCTCGAACGTATGCACCGACGAATATAGGTCTAAAGAGAAATTTGTCAATTCTGTGACTAACATGAAATCATTTATACAGAGTCCTTGTAATATTGTAAAAAATTTAGAGCCAACCAGCGGAATAGAAAGTATAAACGAACCTATTGAAACTAGTAAAGTACAGTTAAATAATCCAAATACTTATACACAATTAGCCAAAAAAGAAACAAGTGTCTAATCTAGTTTTGCTTGTGTGAAATTATATAAGTATATCATATTTATATCGGTAGAAATTTTATCAAATAGGAAATAAAATTTCTAGCTGTATTTTCAGTTCCATTATATTCGAAATATGCAGCCTCTCGTTTCTAATTCTCGACAAATACAAATATAGTTCCTATAAAACAGAAAAAAGGGATACAGTCTTCTTTCATACAGGCATTTTTACTTTTGCCTCTTATATAAAATACTTTTTAATGCGTCTCTATTCATATGAATGTGTACGAAGCATTTACTAAACTGCTTATCGTATTTATTGAAAGAAAAGGATATACATAATATAAGTCAGGCTCTAAATTTCTCGAAACTCATTCTTTTCGCTTTGTATATAATTCCGTAAATGGAAATGATCATTTCATTACATGTTTCACCAACATCACATAAAATTTACTTTCTATAAACAAACTGTACTTTATGTTCACGTATTTAATTTGTATTAACAGCTTTTTGTACAGTTTACTTTTTATAATACTCGTAATTTGTATTTTAAGTTTAACAATTTTTCTAAGACTGAATTTGCATTAAATAAAATACGATTATATCAGATTTATGATATAACATCGGTTTATACATCGGAAGTAACTCTGATATTCGTTGAACAGTATTTATAAAGATCAAAAAATTGTTATATTTAAGTTATATGATATTTAAACTATCATATTAAAAGATAAAACGTACGTATGCGAACACCTGTGTTGCATACAGTTGTAATCTACAAGGATATTACTTGTATATAAAACGTATTAATAACGGGTAAAATTTGTACATAGTTTATACACTATTTAATTTCTTAAAGTTTATATATGTAACTTCTTTCTTGTACTTGAAAAATATATTTAAATGTTTGAAAGTACGACTTTACTCTATATATTCTCTTCATCTTTCTTTGTACCCATCCCTTTTATAAATGGAAAAATAGATTATCATTGCACCAAGCCAAGTAATTTCAACAAATTGCTTTCATTTAATTTTTTACTTATCCAACCAGTCTTTAGGATTTTTTAATACTTCGACAAGTTTCGATTCTTTCGAATTCGGTTCTGGTTCATGCATGTATTTCCAATTTGCGGACAATGGCAAAGACATTAATATACTCTCGTATCGAGCGCCAGGAGTATATAAACCAAACTTCGTCCCACGATCATATATTAAGTTGAATTCAACATATCTTCCTCTGCGTAAGAGTTGCCATTGTCTTTCGGCATATCCATACCCATCGTCCTTGTGCTTCTTGACTAGTGGAATGTACGAGGGAATAACAGCCTCTGCACAAGATTTTACGAATCGAAACGTTTCTTCTTGGCTGGGGGTGTCGAGATCGTCGAAGAAGATGCCGCCTACTCCCCTACGTTCTCCTCTGTGCGTAATAAAGAAATAATCATCGCACCATTTTTTGTACTTTGGATAATAAGATGGGTCGTGCTCGTCGCAAGCAGCTTTCAAAGCACCATGAAAATGTTTTACGTCGTCCTCGTTCAAATAGTAAGGCGTCAGATCGGTACCACCGCCGAACCACCACTGAGTGGTACCGTCCTGATTCTCTATTTCAAAGTAACGATAATTGAAATGTATCGTTGGTACCATAGGATTACGTGGATGAATCACAGCGCTTACACCAGCTGCAAAGAACGGCAATGATCCCTCCTGGATGCTCTTGCCTCTTGCCCTCATCTGTTGAACCGCACCTGGTGGTAACATGCCAGTGACAACAGACACGTTCACACCAGCCTTCTCAAACACAACTCCGTCCTGGAGAACACAAGTAATTCCTCCACCGCCTTCTTTTCTGGTCCATCTATCTACTTTAAAACGATGATCTGGATCTTCTAACGATTCTAAGGCTTTGCAAAAGTCTGCCTGAGTTTTCATTACTAACAATTCCATCTTCTTCCTCATGCTGTCCTCCCTCTCCAATTCTTTAATGTCAGTAATGGGTTGTGCCATAAACCTTTTGATGAATTCATTTTCAGCTGCCCATACTTTAAATCCTGATGTACTATAAACCATAACACTTGTGAAAACACCGATGCCAACATATTTGATGTTCTTAATTTGTTTATGTTTATGAAAAAAGTAACGTAGTGTCGTCCAGTCTTTTAGTAATGTACGTGCAACCATGATTATCTGTAATTAACATATATTAATTTAATTATAGAGACATTGTTATTATAATACGATACGAATATGAATTATTCTTTATTGTATGTAAATATTTCTTATTGTTCGTTCTAGATCATTTCTTCTATTTTAAATATACATTGTAATAATCAATAATTATAAAATATTACAATACTTACGATTTAATAAACAGCAATGCTTTTTACTTAATCGTGGAAATGATTGTAGTATCGTATAATCCACGATACTAAATTATCCTTCAAATAGCAGCAGGATTTATTATTTTTCTACTTGTTTAAAACAAAATGAACGTTTGTAAAATATTATTTATAAGAGCACAGATTTAAAAGGTTAACTACTACCTGATCGGTAGCATTTGATGCACGTGTTTATATTGCTTGCATTTTCAAAATGTGGCTCCCTAAGCAATTTGTTAGACAACAATTTTATAGAAAAACTTTGGTACGTTGTATATAAACGATACGTACTCAGGATAATGAATAAATCTGTTTTTGTTTCTTTTTTAACTACACTGAATTAATATTATACATGATTTCTTACAGCTTAAAAAACTATCCACTCAATGTGATGTAAATGCAATACAACATTATAATCAATAATTATAAAATATTACAATACTTACGATTTAATAAACAGCAATGCTTTTTACTTAATCGTGGAAATGATTGTAGTATCGTATAATCCACGATACTAAATTATCCTTCAAATAGCAGCAGGATTTATTATTTTTCTACTTGTTTAAAACAAAATGAACGTTTGTAAAATATTATTTATAAGAGCACAGATTTAAAAGGTTAACTACTACCTGATCGGTAGCATTTGATGCACGTGTTTATATTGCTTGCATTTTCAAAATGTGGCTCCCTAAGCAATTTGTTAGACAACAATTTTATAGAAAAACTTTGGTACGTTGTATATAAACGATACGTACTCAGGATAATGAATAAATCTGTTTTTGTTTCTTTTTTAACTACACTGAATTAATATTATACATGATTTCTTACAGCTTAAAAAACTATCCACTCAATGTGATGTAAATGCAATACAACATGTACCAGAACCAGAATATAATATTGATTTTATATGTAATCCAGCCAATAGAGATATTATTTTTAATAATATAAAACTAAGGAAAGGTATGGGCGATATTGACAAAGTACTCGAGTTTTCAAACAAACCCGAACTAAGAGATTCTCTAATGCACGAGTTAAATAGAATACCAAATCAAACCCATCCAGCGGTTTTAGCTTATGATAAAGAACCACAGTTGTTAAAAGAACATGGACAAAAGCCAGAATTTGATTTTAAACCACAGGAGTTTTCAAAGTTAGTTACAGGCTTACAGGCCTTGAGGAGTCAGTATTTGGGTCCTTTAATAGGGCAACGAGGATACATGCTTGTAGGAGATTTGGCTGATTTGGAGGAGGCGTTGATTCATTATACAGTGAAGAAGTTGATGAAACATGGTTTTAAGCTTGTCTCTGTACCAGATATTATCCCTACAGAAGTTATTGAAAGATGTGGATTTTTAACGGACCATGGGAGGACTCTTGTATATAATTTAGATCCTTTTTACGGAGGGTATTACAGCTTATCTGGAACAGCAGAAATGTCTTTAGCATATAAAGTAATGAACACAGTGTTTGATGCCTCAGATTTACCATTGAAAATGGCTGCTGTAAGCAGATGCTTTAGAGCAGAAGTATCCAATCTTGTAGAAGAAAGAGGTATCTACAGGTAATATTGTACAGCAGTTCATCTATTTTGTAGTTTGAAAATTGTCTAATTTAGAATATGTACCAGGGTTCATCAGTTTACGAAAGTCGAGATGTTTATCTGTTCGAAACATGAGGAGTCTGAAAAACAATTCCAAGAACTTCAAGATATTGAAGAAGATTTATTTTCCTCTCTCAATTTACATTTTAAAGTACTTGATATGCCACCTCACGAGTTGGGAGCGCCAGCATATAGGTTTATATCACTCTATAGAGATTGAATTAGACATATATGTAAAGCTATTTAGATTTTGGCTTTTTTTTTAATGAGAAATTTGTATACTCAGGAAAGTTGATATGGAAGGTTGGATGCCAGGAAGAGAACTATATGGAGAACTATCTAGCTGCAGTAATTGTACCGATTATCAATCACGGCGACTTGGCATTAAATACAAGGCGGAAAATGGAGAACTCTTACATGTCCATACTTTAAATGGAACTGCTTGTGCTATACCTCGCATGTTGATCGCACTTTGCGAAACATACCAAACGAAACATAGCCGTATCCGTGTTCCTGAAGTTTTAATTCCTTACATGAAGGGAAAGGACCTTATTAAGAAGCAGCCCGTTGCAAGCTCGAGACCTTATAAATATAAATCTGATTAAAACAACTGTTTCTTTCTTTTGAATTGTTCGTATTTAAAATCACGTTTTGTAACTGGAACGTTGTAATGATAATCTACTAAATGAATTAAATGTAGGAAATTAATTA